CAAGTTGCATATGATATCTTTAAATTGTGTAAGATAAAACAAAGAAATTTTTTTTAAAAATCTGCTTTTGTGCAACTGGCAGCTTTGAGGAAAAGAGATGGTTTATAAAAAAAAAATGTGATTTTTTTATCTAGTAACTTTCTGAAAGCTCTGTCTTCTGAGTGTAATGCATTGTCAAATATAAAATATTACTGGTTTGGAAGGTTACGAAGAATAAAAAGCGTACCAAATGTCAGAAGACAGAGGAGGAAGCCTTTGTTTCCCAAATAGGAGGCTGTACTTTGTATTTTATCAGCCAAGTTTTTTTTTTTTTTTTTTCCAATTTTCACTTGATTTTTATGTGTTAAAGCAGAGTATTGGATATATCCTGTAGCTTTTGTATTAAATTCAGGCTTCAATTCTTATTCATCTCAGTTTTCTGAAAGTATCTACAATAGATACCAGGTTTAAATATCCTATGTACAGCTACAACATTCACAAAGTGACCCAAACAGTGACCTAAAGGTAATGAATATTTCAACTTTGCCCTTGAAGTTTGCAAGCAAGCCCTTTACACGATCAATTTGTTTATGTAGTAAATCCAGACTTTGTCACTGCTTCTCAGAGACTTGCTTCCCAACATAAATTATTCCTAGCATAGCAAGAGGTAAAAGTGGAAGAGTCGTCTCAGGGATTTAATCTCCTACCCTCCCACTCAAAATATGAACAAAGAATGATTGCTGTATGATTAGGTGTTTTTCTTTGATATTCTGAAATTTTATTTAAAGAATCTCCTCTAAGTTGGTAAATTACTCATTGAGTATTTGTTGGTGAAAGGGGGCTTCTTCCAAAAACAGGCATACTTCAGAAATCATAGTTTCTGCTAGAGCTGCAGTAAAATCTGTTTATCCTTAAAGCTATAATTATATGAAATTATATTCTCATTTGTCTATGCTGTATTCTCTTCTGTTTGGTTCACTCCATGTGTGTGCTGTGCGTATTTGTTGAGCACAGGGGAAGGGAGTTGAACACTAAATATTGTATGGAAACCTGAGAAAGAAATCCTTTGTCAGCGTCTTAATGGCACAGGATTTTTTTTTAAGTCCTTAGAGTAAGAAGAAAGCCTGACTTACACAAATGTCTAAGTGTTTGAGTCATCCCCACTGCAACTAGCACATCTACTGTTGAAATATTTTAAACTGCTAAAAGCCTTTTGTGTGTGTATGTGTGAGCAAAATATTCCTTATAATATTGTTAACTGAGCTTGACTTCGTACATTTTTTATTTACGAGCTTTATTTTCATACAAGCACAAATCAGAATATCAATGCATAGCAGATGAAACCTACCAATGAAAGTACAGTGAAGCAAGAAGGTAAAGGGTTTATTTTGTTTTTGTTTGTTTGTTTCTGGTTTATTTTTAGTTTAAGGTTTTCTGTGCTTCTGAAAAAACAGGAAATAAAAATAAAGGCAAAGGTATTATGGCTTGTTTAATGAAAAAAATAGTATCCATGTTGTGACAGACTTCAGAAAATGGCTATTGAATCGCTGTGCTTGTTAATTTAGCTAGTTAACCATTGACATGAGCCATAATGATTAAGCAACTGTAATTAACTGGTAATGTTTGAAAGTACAGATGGATTGTAATTTTATAGTTAAAACAATAAGCATTTCACTTATATTTCACTAGCTAGTTTCACTAACCTTACATAAGTTTAGCTACAAAAAATGGTCAATTTTAAATATTTACTGTAAATAAATACAAAAAATTATGCAATTTAGATGATAAGGGATATGCTACTGAAAGGAAAAATATGGCCATGTCCAGAGTTCAGCTATCGAGCTTTTTCTTTGCTTTCTTGACAAATAATGCTTATCTTACTTAAACTTCAGTGTTCAGTTAGTCTTTTAAACATATTTGTGCTCAACTAAGAAGTAATGCTTACAGAGATGTATATCTTTGAATAGAGAACTTCAAGTAACACTTGGCTACAAGGACCCTAGTGCCTCCTGGAACTTCTCCAGCTGCTAAACTGGGTGCAGAGTCCTCTTCCTGGATGGGTGCAGAGTCCTCTTCCTACATGCGTGCAGAGCAGGGTAGTACGGCTGTGCCATGACCAACTTTCTAAGCTTTACGATGAACACCCTTGCAAGAACAGTGCTGATCATATTTTTGGTCATTCTTTTCTTCCTTTCTTGTTGATGACTCCTTGGGTAGACAAAATCTTTAGACTCCTTTGGAATTGCCAGAAAACAGTTGCTGTTTTTCTCAGCTGCTATTACAAGAAGATGCAAGTCAAACTTTTGTTACCTTTCCCTTATCACAAATAGCCATGTTATGGGGATAGTAATTTGATTGTTTTTTCACAAATGAAATGCATAGAAAGCATTTCTCTAAATGGAATAATGATGCTAATGTTTTATCTGGGTGGGGGTGGAAGGAGGGAGAAGTGCATAGTGCAGTCGTGGAAACCCCCCTTTTTGGACTCTATCAGATAATGAAAAACAAGCAACAGACAGCACAGTTAGTTTCTGGTGCTAATGAGCTGATTTATAATGTCTCAACAGGCAAATTGTACAATGATATCCAAGACTGAAAGTATTAGCAGAGGACAGAGAGGATAGCAGATAATGTTAACCTGGGAATGCTTGCATTGATTCTTTTTTTTAAAATGAAATTAGTGTTTTGAATGCACTCCACATCTGCAAAATAAGTCTGCATTTTGGGTCTTTATGAGATTGGAATCATTGTTCTGAATATATGCCAATAGTTTAACAATGAAATCTTTGTCAGGTAATTTGCAATTTGATAAATTGTATAATGTATGATTATACATTCCTAAAACATTAGGGTAATTAATTTTTGAAGTAGAGACTTTGTTTTAGAGACCTCATTCATATTATTTCTGATATATTTTTTTTTCCTGCAGTAACTGTGATCAGGAAAGTTACAATCATCTTACTTTGAGTGTCTTCTGTCAGTCTTTAAGGTATCAAATATAGATACTGGGTCACTGACCCATTGTCTGTGACTGGTTACCGATCATGGGTGAATTCCCTTTCTTAGTTTCCTTGGCATTATTTGCTACACCATGTGCTATAGAACATATTTTCATTTGACATGTTTTCTTTGCTCATGGTTTGGCATTTTTTTAAATGATGCAACTACAAGACACTGACTCAAAAGGATTTATTATTGTTATATCAATATTCCTTTGTATTTTTTTCACTTAACCTGAGAACAGTTGAAATAAAATGGATTTTCCCAAAAGAGATAAATGGGAGATATTTTTTTCTCAGAAGATCTTCTGCATAGTCAAATGATTTTTCCCTTTTCTAGTTAGAACTATCCTGTTTCTGAGAAATCAGGCAAATAAGTGGCTACTGAAGATCCTGGTAGTATGTGGTGACAAGCTAGTAATAACCAGTGACAATATCAGTCTTTTATCAGTCAGTATCAGCCTCAGTAAGGGAAAGTGGAATTCTCTCTTGTTTCAGTTTGTAACATCGGATACGTAGAAATGTGATTCTTACAGCATGTGTTCCTTTCAGTTTTCTGCCTTCAGAATGGTTCATATTCTTTGGCTTAGTTTTAACAGTCAACCTTCTAAAAACTTGGCCTTCTCAGCTACTTTGGACAGATCCTGTAGTCTTTTGTGTTTCACTTTCATAAAAAATTCATTTTCAGTGTGTGAACCAAGTAAAATGAGCAGAAACTGGATTTTGCTGTGTATTTTTGTCTGCTAATCCTTTAGTTCTATTCTTCCAGGTACATGTTAAATCATTACCCTGGAGAAAAATCTGTACCTTTGCTATGCATATTGGGTCAGGGGAAAAAACAGTGCTACAAGCTAACCACTGTAGCAGTCTTCTTGAACTGCAGGAAAAAGAATCCAACCAAACATTGTTTTAGTAAACACTTTTTTTTTCAGTGAACCTGAGTGTAATTATCAGGTGTGTATACTGTTATCTTTCTTTCACGGAGAAATAAGTTGACACATAGAACTGTAATCATTGCTCGATCGCATATGTAATGTATTTGTTTTGTTCTAACCATCAGACATCAATCCACCTTGAATCTTTTCTTGTGCCTGAAGGAATAAAATTTTGATGGGTATTCACTAGACTGAAAATAAACACTAGACACACAGGATGTACTGCTACAGTTATCTGGCACCTCAAATAAAAATTAGAATAATCTAAAAATGAAAAGGAAGTTTGACAGATCCGATATGCATATTTTAAATAACATTATCTGACCAATGCAAAAACGGATGAGTCAACAAAAGAAAACAAAATTATGAAATAGCATGTATACTTTCTAATGAATCTGTGCCTTTATTCAAAGTTGATGACACTGGTGGCCTCTCTTGAGGGTAATTTCAAAAACAAATTTCATTGTAGGAAATTAAACTAGCTCTAAGAACTACAGCTGTATTAAATTGCATACAATTGAGCACTCTTTTTCAAAGTGTAAGTTCATTAACCTGAATACATCAAGAAGCTTTCGTTTGGCCCACTTCCATAAGGATTATAGTATAAGGCAGCATTTTGTCCTCTGTAGTGTTATAAGACCTTTTGGGTAAATTGAAAGGAGATGAAAAGAAGAGCAAATCAATATATTTAACCCTATTTAGATGAAGTGACAAATACTTGCATAGTATATTATGTATGTTGCTATTTGTTATTTTTCTATCAATTTGGTGGTAAGTGCCTAAGGGAAGGTGTGCTGTAGAAACATATTTTATCGCTTTTAACAGTAGAGTAGAAAATCTGCAAATTAATATTGTCGTAGCTTTTCTTCACACTGAAATATTTTATGGCCGTCTTTTTTTTTTCTGCTCTGTTTTATGTTTCATAAAGTTTCTAGAACAACGGAATGTTGCATAGTGTTCTACTTACATTTTATCAAAAACGTGACTTCTAAACTGAAACTGATACAAATGTAACAAATTTGAAATTCATTTTGATATTTTAAGGACAGGATTTTCTTTTCTTTCTTTCACCAGTGTAAAAAGCTCTACTTGACCAAAATGGTGGACACTGAAAACCATCTCTATCTACTTATTCCATTGGAGGAGGATGATATAGGCAGCCCTTTATCTGGAGAGTTCCTGCAAGATATGGAGAACATTCAAGACATCTCTCAGTCTCTGGGTGATGATAGCTCTGGAGCTCTAAGTTTAACAGAGTTTCAGTCATTGGGAAATGGTCCAGGATCTGATGGATCAGTTATAACAGGTAGGAGATTTGGAGTACATTAAAATACTTTTTATATATATACATTAAATATATAATAATGTTGGAAAAAAAATGTAGTAATTGCTGTTTATGAGTAAATGACATTACATATATATGACTTGATTATAGCTTGGCCTTACAACATTTAAGGCTAGAGTTAATTTATAAGGCAAAATTACTGAAAAATTATTGGTGTGTTAAGTTCCTTTAAAATTGTCATTAGTATCAACCCGTTTTCCAAATAACTCTTACAACTTGCTAGCCAAGAAAGTACTCTACATATATATATATATATATTGCATTATTACAATTAAAACTACCTTTTTTTTATATTTCTTCAAATCACGTTTGAAATGTACTTCAAAGCATTTATTAAAAATATATTTCCAATCTAACCCCTAAAAATATAGCCTAGAGTTCTAGTACATGCTAAAGTACTGATGCTTTTAGTGTGCTGATTTTCCCACCTTCATGAGACTAGCATTATTCAACCAATTGGTTCTACCATGGTTAAAGTAACTCATCTGGGAGTGCTAATATACTACATGGTTATTAACCAAAAGATCTTTGGCCCTTGAGATTTTATGTGAAAGATTTCAGTGGAAATTGTTAAAAAGTAATGGGGCACTGTGATAATGTCAGTCTCTTGCTGAAACTCCTGTTTTATAAACCTTTCAGCAGTAGAGACGGTGTAAGCAGTTCGTGATTGATTTTCTGGATTTTTTTTTCTTTTCTTTTTTAAACTCTATAAGTCAGTTTGTAGGTTTATACCTCACAGAAATTGCACTGATACAGTTGAGGAGTGCCCTGGACTACAGAGGTTGGAATGAACAGTGTGAGCTTTGAAGGGAGAGGGAGAGCAGCATTTTGGCACTGTTGTCCAAAGAAATGGTTGTAAAAATATGATTTGGGTCCCTCTCTCATTGAAGTCTTTAATAAGCCTAGAGATAGGCCTCATTCAGGGAAAGTTTAGATGTACGGGGTTGATAATGGCTTTTCAAGTCATGGGATTTATATTATTTGTGTGTATAAGTCTTGTGATACTTGGATCAGTTTCTAGTGTTACCTTCTTATTTTCACTGTATTCCGTGTCCCTTGGAAAAAGTTCTAGTTTTCATTGTAGAGAAGATGGGAAAAAAATCCACAAGTCAAGTAAAAAGAAATGAAAATCATAGTTGAAAAAATAAATAAAAAGAATTTAGGCTGTTTCTTGGTTATTCTGATGCCTGTGGGCTTAGCAATACTGGCAAGGCAGACTTTGAGTTCTATGCCAAGGTATTTTCCAACATAATTCTTGCTGACCTACTTTCATGAGCATTTCTTAATCTTTCTGTTAAAATAACACACCCATTAATTTGCTAAAGTCGTGTGGTGCAAGTTGTGAGATGTAAGATAAATGAAATTTTGGCCTTGAAAAATATTTTCCTCAAGCAAAGTGGAAATATTAATTGAAATAATTAAAACTGGGATGTGCTAGTTTTGTAACATTGATCTAGTAGTAAAATGCCTGGACAGCTTATTTCATTGTACAACTATCCATTTTTTTTTCTCCCAATATACTCAAAAGGTAAAATACCTTAGCAAGACTTCTATGGCTAAGTTACCTTAGAAGCAGAAACTTGTCTTACCTACCTTTGAATATCGGTTTAGTGTCTTCCTGGTTATGAAGAAATATGATTTTGTTTCCTTGAGACAACATCTTGTTTAGAAAGAGAAATTCTATAGTTCCCTTTTAGACTTAAGTTTAGGGCATCCTTTAAACCCATGAATAGCTCTTCTGAAGCCACTGGGTCTTATACGTGTATCTTCAAGCACTGGGCTAGCTCAAGGTTGAGCGAGGAATATGTTGCTTATCACACCATAGAGATAGATTTGATTCTGAAAGCTAAAGCCTGACAGATGGAGGATGTAATGGTAAGATGGACTTTTAGTAGCTGTTTTGGAAAGAGAGAGCAACAGCTGGAATGGATTGTGTAATACAAACTTGATGATGGGGATTTTGTTTTGTTTTCTTTTGTATTTTTTCCACTATTTGTCTGGAGCAACAGATGCGTGCTGAGTATTGGTTTTCAGTTTCAACTGTTGTGCTATTCTTGAAATAGTACACATAGTATACGTGCATTTTTATAGTAAAGAAAGCTTTCTTGATTTCAATTAGAAATAATTTCAGTACCTTTTGTTCATTTATCGTAAGTTATAGGATTAAAAAAAAAGTCTTCCCATCAAACTGAAAATATGAAAAGGAATATTTTTCTAATTTTATGTATAGAGTAGTTATGAAATTATTGAAGAACCATTATCATCCTTCTGCTTGTTATCAGAGTGACTTCTTTTTTTTTGCCTGTTTGTGTATATTTTGCATATCACCAAAATTAGCAATGTACACCATATATTTTGTATTTGTTTGCACTGTGAGAATAAATACGAAATATTTTTCAAACACATGGTTGTCAAATTATTAGTTTACTTACTAATTATTAATGCTTGGCTATTTTAAAAATAGAAATTTTGGTGTGGATTTAGTATAGAAATGGTACCAATCGTGTTAGTGTAGTATTTATAAAGTATTCCTTTTTCTTTTAGACACCCTTTCACCAGCATCCAGTCCTTCATCCATTAATTTTGCCACAGCTCCAAGTAGCATAGATGAATCACCCAGTGGAGCATTAAACATTGAATGTAGAATTTGTGGGGATAAAGCCTCAGGCTACCATTACGGAGTTCATGCTTGTGAAGGTTGTAAGGTACAGTGGTAATTTTCTTTTTAAGAGCCTAATTCATGTTGTTTTATTTGGAGGGATATATGAAGGTTTCTTTCATAAATGTTTAATTAATATAATCCTGATCATTAAAATTATTGAAATAATAAGCATATATGTGAAGTAATTGAGAAATGATTTGTTTAGATCCATAATTTAATACCAGACCTTCATCAAGCAGAGGCAATTCACAATGACAATTTTAATTCTGCTTTACTGAAAACAACTAGTTAAACACTAAAACACTAAACTCTGACCAAAACCGAAAGCCTACTTGCTCCACTAGTGTTTTATTTGTGTTGGAAGTATAGCTGTGAGAAGCATGTGAGTTTGCTACATTTCCATTAAAACAGCAACAAACCCTTAATTTCTCATCTCCATCACATTCTGTCTGAATCATTTAGTATTCTACCTCTTGTATTTTTGGAGCGAATGCATATCTCTGAGGAAATTAATATTATCTATATATATGCCAATGTATGATATAACCCAAAATATAATATTATTTTTCCTTCCAAAGTTTTTATTTTACACTTCCTTCCTCCCCCACCCAAGTTAAAGTGAGTGAAACAATTTTCGTGTGTATATACATACACACACACACACACACATATATGTAATATATACATACATATATATATATATATATACACACACTTATACACTTTTTTTTTCTCATGCTTACGGCGAAATCTGAGTCAGATGACGACAAGTCAAATACAAATCTTACCGAATGATGCTGGAATCAAATACAGAAATTTGCACCAGCTCTTGAAGAGACAAAGAGACAGTTGAAAATCAGATGTGGCCATAAAGTCCCACCATCTAAATGATATCCAAAACTATGTCCTAATGTCCTGTGAGGCAATATGCTACAATGTCTTTAGTTTTGATAACACTGCCATAATTTTGTAGTATAAGCCTAGCATTACATTGCAGTATCAAGACATTGTGCAAGATTTGATGGCTTTTTGTAATGCCCTTTTTTTTTCTTTTTTTTTCTTTGGGTGACCTTGGCTTTTTCTCTGTACTCTGTTGTGTTGTCGTACTGCACACATTTAATGGATGGATTAAAGATGTGAAAAATGTGTGCATTTCTGACTTAAACATATGAAAGACTAAGGCTGTGTCTAACAGAGGGCTGAGAGAATGCATTCAAAAGCAAGACATGACTGCTTTGCTTAGTCCTTAAGAGTAACTTTGCAGGTACAGGCTCTTGTCTATCTTTCCCAAGAAAGAAGGCTTAGAGCTACCCCCTCTTTCTGTACTTCCTTTCTTTTCTTTCATTCTGTACATGACTTAAGATACACCATTTCCCTATGTAGAGTAAGATTTTTATCTTTGGGCAGGTTATGCTTAGCTTATTGGATTTTAATTACAGCAATAAGCAATAAAAAGAGAAAAAACAAACAAACAAAAAACCCCTGTATGATTAAAGTTTAGTAGTTAATGTTCTTTAACATTACATATTGTTTTCCTGAACTTCTTGCAGGGTTTTTTTAGGAGAACAATTCGATTAAAACTCATCTATGATAAATGCGATCGCAACTGCAAAATTCAGAAAAAGAATCGTAATAAGTGCCAATACTGTCGTTTCCAGAAGTGCCTTTCAGTTGGAATGTCACATAATGGTAGGTAAGAATGCCCTTACTAATTTGTGTGTTTCTACCCAGGGTCTGCTTCTGGAAGCAGGTGCTTGCATATTTTATGCTTACTGGTATGAGTTGAACGTCAAGTTATTACAGTATGGACTGGAGGTGAACCAATTTCACTAATGGCTAGATAATCCAATTGACACAGCTGCCAAATGTACTTTTGTGAAGCCTACACAATTGTGTCAATTGTCTGTTTGCCCATGTGAATGTTCATTAGATGTTGTCTCCAGCCAGAACTTTGGCACCCTGGGTCCCATTGAAACAAATTCCAGGAGCTGAAGAAAAAAGAGAGCTCATTGTTGGAGGGAATAACATAGGCTAGAAATCTGCAGGAAACCAGACTTCATTATGCTGCAGGTTGCAGTGTAAGAACAGATGGTTTATGGGCTGTGCGGGAAGGGAAGGTCTCTGCTCACTCTGCAACAGGAATCTGGTAGGTTGTTCGTAATAATTTAGCACATTTAGATAAAACAATAACAAAATGTTAAAGTTGGTTAAAAACTTAGCATAGAGCTGGTACGTTTGTGGCTTACAGGCCCACTTCAGCCAGTTTTTAATGATGGACTGAGATTATTCCCCACTGGGAGACATTTTATATTCTTGGTTGGTAAAAGCTTTCCTTAAGCAGCAGACTTGGAAAGCATATGCCAGCAACAGAGTAATATCTATGGGGCCAGTGTTTAGAAGAGGGCTATGCTAGTTGGTATAGTGTTGGTTGGGATGAGTGTTCTGCTAAAGTCGTTTCAACTTGCTAAAAAGATGTGTGTCTGTGCTCCAACAGAAGTGGGGAGCAAACATCTAGGGAAGTGATAGCGGAAGGAGAAGACCACTGACTTACGAGCAGCGCTTCTGAGGAAAACTCTAGAATCAAATTTATAGCCATGACACCATGATATTAAAACTGGAACCTTCAGTTTAGGGCAGATTTCTTCTGCTTTTCCGGTAGATCCATGGCCCAATTCAGGACAGACCTCCCATGTTAAAGAGGCCTCCTACTGCATTCCAAAACTGCATTTCAGATCAGTCCTAGAGTGAGCTCCTTATGTCATGAGAAAAATCCCTTGGGTCCCTGAAGTGCTAATTGTATGCAAATAGTCTGAATTGCTCAATCAAAGCATGGAAGGTCCATCATTCAACTGAGTAGTTACTGAAATGAGTCAAGAGTAATTAGCTATATTGGCTGTCTCCAAACCCTACATCCTATTGGAGGATAAGGCTCCTTGTAAACTGAGTTGTTTTAGTGTTAAGATGAAACTGAAGAGTGTGGAAGTGCCTTTTATCAATGAAATATGTAAGAGCACTTGTGCAAGAAATGGGAGACCTTCACATGCAGTGGGGTTTTTAAACTTGCATCTCCTTCCTTTGAAGAGAACCTCCTAACTGCTAGATTGTATAATCAAAGCCTGCTCTCATCCGGACCAGTCTCTCTACAGAGGAAGAATTGTAAAATATTGAGTCTAGGAGGAGTTTTGGGCTATAACCTAGCGATTTGAGCACAAATTTGGAGCCTGTTTTGCTTTCATGAGGCATTACAGGGATGTTGAACTGGCTAACCAGCGTATTCAGAGCTGAGTGCCCCAGCAGATTCAGAATCAGAAATAGAGTTGGGGCCCATCTCTGTGCAGTGTTTCTTAACAGGTAACTGCCTAGGCAGACGTCCAGCCAGCACGTCTGTGCTGCCAGTCAAGCTCCTCACACCACTCAGTTGCTGTGAATTCCATTTGGTGACGCTGAGTTTCACGCTGGGGCGGTTTAGATGCAGAAAATAATAAGAAGGGGGAAAAAATATAGCTACATGGGTTGTGTAGAAGGGGAGGGCATGTATTCTAGATTGATACAGTTACCAGTTTGTGTTTTGAAATGCTTTGATTACCTTCGGTTTCGCATTCCGACTTGATAATTAGTCACTGATTCTGTTGGAAAGAATGGAATTATTTCATTTGTGAATTTATCATAATAAATATTCTACTTCTTACCTTTGTAGATGCCCTTATTGCTCTAATTAGCAATGAAAAAAGGCATAAATTTTTGTCTAACTTTTTTTTTTTTTCTTACAATTATGTCTTCCCATCAGCAATACGTTTTGGACGAATGCCAAGGTCTGAGAAGGCAAAGTTAAAAGCAGAAATTCTAACAGGTGAAAATTATGTGGAAGATTCAGAAATGGCAGATCTTAAATCACTTGCCAAAAGAATTCATGATGCCTACCTGAAAAACTTCAATATGAACAAGGTTAAAGCCAGAGTCATTCTTGCTGGGAAAACTAGTAACAACCCAGTAAGTAGTTCTACTGTAACTTTCTTTAAAGTTGTATGCACATAAGGAAATGTAAAAAGTTGTTAAACACTTAAGCTAATCTTTTAGATGTTAGCATGTTAATACAGACTTAAAATATGAAAAAAAAAAACCACACACACACACAAAAAACCCACACCCAAAAAATCAGAATCAGAGTAAGAAGCTTTGGGAAAACCAGGTGAATAAACTGTTGGACATGATCCAATCTAAGCTCATACTCTTATTTACAATATAGAGGGAAGCACAAGAAAATAATTTCTTAATCAAAAAAAAAAAATCAGTGGTGTGTGAATGTGAATCCCTCTTGTTGGGGGATGGAATTTTTGTAATGCTCTTATGGCACAAATATCAGGATAAATACTGCTGTCTCTAAGGACATACAGGAGTGCTCTGTATGACACTTGCTTTAACCACAATAAAAGCAATGGTAAGAGTTGAAAGAGAACTGAGAGTTGTAACACTTTGTGTAGACTTGGGTAGAGCTCTGACCACTTCTGCCAGCCTGCTGAGTCTTAACTCTATGGTTACTTTGAAAGGGATGAGAAAACAAAGTTATGAAGACATATGGACATATAAATTGCAGAGGACATATAAATTGAGAATGTGTGTGTTTGTTTGTTTGTTTTGTTTTTTCCTTCTTATGGGATAATTTAGCTAAGCTCTTGATAGTGGATAAGCTCTAAATAGTGGATGCCCTCTGTGAATTTTTACTTTAGATTCTTGGATCATTACTGATTACTTGTGTAACATTTACTCATGAGTAGTACAACATTTTTGAAATTTAACTCTGAGACAAACAATTTTGACAATCTGGCTTAAGCTTCCTATAAATGATTGAATAGGGTAAAAAATCATCAATAGCCACTGAGTAGTTTGGGCTGCCTAGCTCAGTCAACTGTTTTTTTGTTTTGTAGCATATGAGATAGCAAAACCAGTATAAAGTCTGACTTGTTTTATTTTTATGTATTTTTTTAATTTCTCTTGTGATTTATAATAATACGTAGAATATAAAATCAGTAGTAAAATAAGAGATGTAACTTCATAAAAGATGCATGTGGAGGCAGAGAAGATTTTACATTTACCAGAATAAAAATGTGGGATGTTACGAAAATTATAAGCAAGATGTTTTCTAAATAGTGGAATATGAGGTACTATATTTTACCTGCAGGCTAGCCAAGCATACAATTTTTTACCTTAAAAGAGAAACATGAATCGTTCCCCTCTCTTTCACTAGATTAATGAGATGCTTAAAATTTTAAGTACAAGTTTAAACTTCTGAGAGGTTACAAGCCTACATAAACCTACAGTGCTTACAATATTTTAACACCTTACCCAGTAATCTGCATACAATTCTTTTCAAGCTTGTTATTACATGACATAATTGTAAGTTATAATATCTGTTGGGATTCTGCAATGCTGAGATAGTGTATTGTTAGATTTTAATTTTTTAATTTAATTTACTGGTTTTAAGAATAGTCATCTGGTTGGCCAGAGAATAGTGGTCTGCATATTTGTTAATGAATTTGCAAGTGAAAAGAAATCTATGATCAGAACTAGCATATTGTAAACAGGTTGTTTTTTCTAATTATGAGGTGACATTTTAGAATTTGGCACCTAAATTCTTGACAGTTTTCCACATAGCGAAATGAGCAGAGCAGCTGGAACACATTTTATGATTATTTTATAATAGAGTGCAAGAATAATAGAGGAGTCATATAATGTATCATATAATTCTGTCCTATATTTAAATGAGTGCCTATATTTAATGTCATGTATTTAGGGGAAGATATTTCACTAAAGCACCATGATAGGCATCAAGTTAGTTAATTCTTCTGAATTTACTATTGATTAACTGTTTGATTAATTGATGAACTATTGAATTAATAATGGATAGGAAAGCAAGTAGCATAATGTGAGGTTCTGGAGAAGATAATACAGTAATCTTTTTGAGAACCTTATGGGACTTCATCCGAGATCGTAAATACAGTAATAAACCCTGTGCTGCTGGATATTCACTGCAGCTACTAACTAGCTAAAACAACTACATTAAAGATAGTCATGTGTATTTACATGTGCATTTACATCCTGTGTGCACTGTTATTTGCAAAAAAGTCTCTTGGATGCTGCACTTGGCAGTTCTGTAATACCTGGTTATTCATGATGCAGAAATAAGCAATAATTCGAGGGTTGTTTTCCTTTCTGCTCTGCAGCCGTTTGTTATCCATGATATGGATACCTTGTGTATGGCAGAGAAGACGCTGGTGGCAAAAATGGTAGCCAATGGAATTCAGAACAAGGAAGCAGAGGTTCGAATCTTCCACTGCTGCCAGTGCACCTCTGTAGAGACTGTCACAGAACTTACCGAGTTTGCCAAATCCATCCCTGGCTTCTGCAGTCTTGACTTGAATGATCAAGTGACACTGTTAAAATACGGAGTTTATGAAGCCATATTTGCCATGTTAGCTTCTGTAATGAACAAGGATGGGATGCTGGTAGCCTACGGAAATGGTTTTATAACCCGGGAGTTCCTGAAAAGCCTGAGAAAGCCGTTCTGTGATATAATGGAGCCAAAATTTGATTTTGCAATGAAATTCAATGCACTGGAGTTGGACGATAGCGATATATCACTTTTTGTGGCGGCTATCATTTGCTGTGGAGGTAAGCAATACATATTTTTTAGATAGTATCTTTTAAGATTTTTCTTCACCTGTATTAATCATTTTAATGGAAAAATTTGTTTATATCTTATGCTTGATGGAATTGCAAAGATTAAATTTTACCTCTAACAATGACAATTCCCTTTTAGCACGTTTCACAGAAGATACCACATCCCTGCTACGGCTCTGAACCTCTGTTTCGCTTTGCAGAATGACATACGTGCATGGAGTTGCTGCTTAGCCTCTCTCAGAAAGGGGGCTGGGTGCTACATGATTTTAAAAGTAGGATGTGAAGAGTGTTAGTGGGTTTTGATTGTTTTCTTGTTTGTTTTGGAGGTTTAGAAATATTGTTTCCTACTCAGTCCTATCTGTGACATGGGTAGAAAAATACTATGTGATAACACTGTTAGTATGACTAAATAGGCCTTTTCTGCTCTGCTTTTAGAGGCATATGCAGATTATAGCATTGTGATCCAGCCAGCAAGTGTCAAAGATCAACAAGCTCTGCACAAACGCGCTGTACTATTGATGCAGGGTTTTTTTTTTTTTTGTCCTCGAAAAAGTAAAGGGCATTTATTTTTAAGGTTAAGTTGAAAACTCTTTGAAAAGAGAAATAAGGGTTCAAAATAGTTTCAACAACTGCCTTTTTTTTTTTGTTTCCTGCCAGACACATAGGACATTTCACTGGACTCTGGTTGCATCTTCTGCAATTACAAGAAGAGAAATATAATCTGTAGGCTTTGAAATATTCAATGCACTAGTTTAGATAGCAAGCTCCCATCATATTTTAAATAACTTTTGCATGTTACATTGAATTTGAATTTTTCAGAGGTCTGTAGAGTTGTTTTCAGGCAAAATGGTATTTTTCCCTATCCTTCTCCTTCAAAATACCTTAAGTATCCAAGAAACAGCTTTAGCCTGTGTTTGATTTAGAGAGTCAAGGTGCAACAGGATCATAAGTAGCTGAAAATAGGATCATATGTGGAAAGTGTGAAACACCCTTAATAGTGTTTAGCATGCTAACTTCTGTCAGTGCAGTCAGATGTGTTTAGGATTTTAATATTTAGGATTTTAGCTTAATAGCGTTAAGCATGTTTGCTTCTCTGTCAATAACTGATGCAATATGGGAAGCAAGGGAAATCCCATTTGGTTTGGCCTTATGGTTCTTTGTATAGACTCAAGTCTTGGAGAACTCCTTAGAAATAGCCACATGCTTTCCTCCCTATCCTTACAGCTTGAATTCTGTTATCCTGACATACGGAATATAGAACTGGATTCCTAGGCTGTACTTCTACTGACTTTTTGTAGCAGAAAATGGATTAGTGTCCTGAACTCTCTCCTCAGATGACTATGGGCATTGAAAACAATTCGGCCAAAGGGTCAAGACTGCCATTATTTAAAGAAGATTTATCTCAAACCTGATTCCAAACCGATTAAAGTTGACAGGAATATTCTTGTTGTTTTCCATGTCTACTGTGCTAATCTACAATAAAGAATAATTATAAAATTATGACATTTATTCTTCTGTTTGTTTTGAGAACAGATCGTCCTGGTCTTGTAAATGTAGGACACATTGAAAAAATGCAAGAGAGCATTGTGCATGTACTGAAACTTCACTTGCAAACCAACCATCCTGATGACATCTTCCTCTTCCCAAAACTTCTTCAAAAAATGGCTGACCTCCGACAACTTGTAACAGAACATGCTCAGCTTGTTCAGATAATTAAGAAGACTGAATCTGATGCACCTTTACACCCTTTACTACAGGAAATCTACAGGGATATGTACTAGGGATTTTTATTTTTTTCCACAATATTTAAAGACAACAGCAATATTAATAATAGATGGGAGCAAAATTACTTGCACAGTTATCTGCTGTTCACTCAGTCTGGAGCATGAGAAATCTAAAAGCTAGATTGTTAAACTTCTGGTTTGGGTTATTCTGTCCTCTTTTGAAAGAGTTCTGCAGAGAAATATCAATCTTAATGCTCATGAGGTTGCTCACAAGGGTTCATTTATTGGAATTTGAGGAATGGTAAGGAATATGTATTTGCACAATAAATCAGAATGTTGATTAACAGAAATGAACAAAACTGTATTTCCTCTTGGCTAAGTCATTTTAGAATTAATACAACAAATTCAGCAAATTCTTTCCAGGCGTATATATGCACAATCATGAAGATTATGCACTTTTGGCTGATGGTAATTATCAAGAACCAACAGTTAAGCCAATCAGTCTATATGTATCAGTGTTTGGATGTTACTGTACATATATATCTAAAAAAAATTGAAAGACCTTTGACATGCTACTGCCCAAGTTCCCAGAAGTACAGGGGTGCATCTTAATATAGTTTTACATCGATGAACTTCAGCATTAGCATGTTGAAAAGCAGTTTCTTTTATGAAATGAAATAAAATCCAAAGAGCTATCTAAAGTACAGCAGAGGTGCTCCATTTAGGTGTCTTGATGACTACTTGAAGCAAAGTATTCTGTTTTTAATGTGTTTTTAATGAAGTAAGAAAATATCCCTGTGGATAAATATATCAAACTGTGAGCATTCTGGAGCACTTGCAATAGCTTGAGATACAGTTCTTGAGAAAATATCATTTTTGAATTAGCAGGAGTTCTGGAGAAACTCCAAGAAATCTAATCATAGCCCAGAGAAAATGAATTCCAACTTCATAGCATTCTAGTGCCTAGAACGATAGCTTATTCTGCGGAAAGCATTGTATAAGAAGGGCATCTTCCTTCTTGACAGGTATTTTTGCAGTGTAGAGTGATTCAAACTGTTTTTTTACTTTTCTGACAAGACTATTTTGTATCGTTCTTTTCAACTATCCACTCAGATAACCTTTCTGTTCTTTCTCATACCTTGTCCACATCAATATCAATCATGTTATTTAATCAAATTTTGTACTTGCCCATACAGCAATAATGGATAAGATGACAGTATTAGCAAGAGCAAAAATTGTAGATATCAATTATGTAATATATGAAAGAGAGCCCAGGTAGGAGTAGGTAAATTTATTGGGGACCTAAGATAAAACTTTGATTTTATAATGTTACTTAGTCCTGATGCAGAATGAGCCAAAATGGAACAGCTTGCCTTTTGCCATTTACCAGAGATTCTTGTATAAAAAGTGAAAGCAAGTGCTAGCAATTAGTTTAATTGCATATTTGTTCAAGACTCTGTTATTTCTTTTTCTCTTCATTTTTTTTTAAATCCTAATTTAATTGATTCTGCTATTTCCTTATCTGTTTATTTGTTTCATAACACAAGGATCTTGGGTGCCAATCTTAGTATTTTCACAATAAGTAAACTTCTAGTAGCACAGGAGGACACTTAATTCTTTCAAGGAATGTTTTAGATTCTGAAACCTGCTACAACAAAACAAGCATTAACAAAGATGGGTAAAGTGAGAATGTCATACTGTGTTTCTTATTTTAGTCACAACATTTGTTTCTTGCAGGCTCACTGGTATGGCTAGACACTGGATAAATTACAGGCTTAAAAGCAATTTGATATTTATCCAGGTGATGGCTATTAGTTGAGGTTTTAGTTACTGCAATTGTGCAAAATCCTAATGCATAGGCCTCAACTTCGGTGATTGTCTTGGGCAGGATAGAACGAATAAATGCATAGGTACAGAATTATCTCTCCTTCCCTGCCAGGTACCTTCCCCTGTCCCCAGTCAGTAATAGAGAGTAACACTAGTTATATTCCAAGTGTTTGTAACACTTCATCATGAGAAGACTGCAGGCCTTAACAAGAAACATGGAGAAGTGGGTTATTCTTTGTATGTTATAGCAGTACTCAGTTGCTCTCAGAAACAACAAAAATATTTTAGGAATGATCCTACTTTATTCCTCAAGCCAGCTGTCCTTCTCTATGAAACGTTGGCTTTAAGCATAAGATGTTCAATACTGAAGTAGTTGGTAAATTGACAAGCTTACTCAAAAGTTACCAAGCGTTAGCTCTTCTCTGATAGCATATTGTTTGGAGACGGTACATATGCATCACTATGTACAAAGAGTGTAGTGATCAAGCAGGATCACTGCAGCTGAGGGGAGCATAGATTCTCCAATAATTTTAAGTTTATTCTGAAAAAGTGAAAGCTGTATTTTTTTTTTCATGAAGCTCAGGTGTATGCAGAAGGCAAAATTTTAAATTCTCTTCCATAGTTTAGATGTACTAAGGTTATTTGGAAAAATTAGACAAAGTTTATTATGGACAAAATGTATTTTTCTGTTCTTGCTTGCTCTTAAAACACTTCACTGAAACTTTCAAAAAACATTAAGAAAGTAAATATTCAAATTTGACGAAACATTTTTCAGTGGAACAACATTTTTCAAGTGGAAATCATAACTTTAATCAGCTACTTGTTGCCAACTCTTATTTTAAAGCCTAGGAAAGTGCATAATTTGCATTTTTTTCTGTTCCAGACCCGTTTTGTTTCATTATTTGAAAAACAGCTAGCATTTTTGAATAGCTCTTCAAACAGTGCAGTTTGATTTCTGTTTCAAATCACAGCCCTTTAAATGTATGGAAAGACATGTATGAATTACAGAAATATGAACAAGATGTTAGCATAGCCTACAACTCTGGACAGATACCACTAGCCCATATCCACAGTATTTTCCAGGAATTACATAGGACAGACACCTCCAGGATGTGAAAGTTTGTGACAGAAGTTCTTAATTTCAACATTACACTTTTAACAAAGTACATTAGCTACCTCAGTAGATGACTGCAGCAGGCATTTGCCAATAGGATTTCAAAATGACTCAGTTTGTGTTCTTTGGAAGTTTGGAGCCTGAAAAGTTTGAGATTTATTATGGAGGAATCGCCAGCATTTCCAACTTGCACAGAACATAAACTATTTTAAAATATCATTTCTGGGGATGGGGGGTGGTGGTCAGATTTAAAAAGTGAAAGCTGTATTTTTTTTTCCTTTTTTCTTTTTCTTTTTCTTTTTTTTTTTTTTTTTTTTTTTTTACAGATTTACTGCCATGTTATATATAGTTTTCATCTGTTTCTTATTTACATCTATTTATTTTATTATCAATAGCACTGAAGAGCCGTGGTTAGAGATCCCAAACTAAC